ATGTTAGATAAGAAACAAAACAAAACAAAGGTTGTTTCCCTATTGTGCTAGATGCTTTGAGAGTTTAAAGATTACCTCTCTCTCTGTTTTGACTGTTACTTTATTGTAATCTTAATACAGATATAAAAGTTATTTTTAACAGATTTATACCTTTTGGTATTACAGCACAATTTGTGATGGTGGTGTCTTTTAGATTCAAAAGCTTTTCTGCCTTTTTTTTTACGTTCATTCTCATTGCATTCTTACAGAACAATCCCATCCCTGCTCAATCCTCATTTTTATAGACTGAACAAATCAGTCAGTAAATAATCCTCACAGTCTCGATTCCCACAAACATTCAGTATTCATTTTCTTGAATGCTGAGTGACCAGTACTCCAGATGAGCCATCAGCTGTGCCTCATTCAGTGATTTGAGCACTTTCCTGGTTCTCTAAGGAATCACCTTACCTGATACACCCAGGATAGCATTTTCCTTTTCCCAGGCCATATCTTAAATATTTTTATACAGCTTACATTCATGTGGGTTTTTATTATACCATCCTTATTTTATTACGCTCTCCTTTTATCATATTCTCTTTATATCTTCCCCCTTCGATTTTTGTTGATGACAGAGTTCCCAGATTTCACCTAGAAATTTTCATTAGCCATTCTGAAAGGAATCTACGTGGCCACAACTTTTCCAAGTTCTACTATTCTAGTACTCAAGTTCATCAGTCCTTCCTCTCTATTACCTGGAACTGACATACTTTCTAAATCAGTATCATCAGCATATTCTAGCAGCATACACACTAGCTCTCATTAAACAGTAACAAGATCTGCCTGTTCTTTTTGTCTTAGAAACTCAACCAGCAAGCAATCTCTGGCTCTTGTTTTAAAAAAATCAGCTGATGCCTCCCTCCTAACTAATTTCTTCCTGACACCCAGTATTCCTTACTGATGCTTTCTATCCAGTCTAGTAATAACAGATCATTTACTGAATACTAGATAAAATGAGTATTTTGAACTTTTGTCTAGCACTCAGACTTCTTATCAAATAATCACAACTTCTTTCACTACAGTGATAAAACAATAAACTCAGCTTATGAGGTAAAAGAAGCATGATCAGAAATGCATTCTTGTCCTTGTTTTTAACTGAGACTCAATCGATCAAAATTAAATATTGAGAAAAAAAAAAAGCCTGACCACTGCACAAAAAGGTTGTCATGACCCTTGTAAAAAAGTAACAAAATTATGGAAAGAAGCAATGGTGTTCTCAAGAAATACAACAAACAATCCACCCTTATTCCTAAGGCCTTTGCCATCTAGCATATTTTGTTTCTGATTTATTATCTGCTTTATCTGTCCATACAAAATCTCTCATTGTATCATAAAACTATTACAAGGATGGACAGAAAATTAGTCCTACTTACATTACCTAAAAATTACTTAGAAAATTAAAAACAGATTTTTTTTTCCCTAGCAATGTCTACTCTGAAATGACGTAGCCTGTAAGGTTGCTTTGCTTTGCTTAATTTACATGTTTCCCAGGCAGTGTTATTTTTAACACAGCATAGTGATGCTTGTTAACAGTCACTAAGTACCTCCAGGAAACCATTATATTCTCCACCACCAGAGGACATTTTGCATAATGGATGGAATTTTCTTTTCTAGATCTTTACCTAAACTTCAGTCTTTCAATCATGAGAGAAATCCCTCTTCAGATTAGTTTTAGAAGAAGAAATGTGTGACAGTGAATCAGATGAAGGGTTCTTAAAGATGTACTGAGCTCACAAAAGAAGCACAGATATACTGTGGGGTACAAGGTGTCATTTGTCACATGAGAGGAAACTCCTGCTTATTAAACCTGATTTCCTTCTATGACAAGGTAATCCACCTAGATGATCAAGGGTAGAGTGTTGATGTAATCTTTTCGGATTTCAGTAAAGCTTTCAATACTGTCTCTCACATGATCCTTCTTGACAAAATGTCCAGCACACAGCTGGATAAAGACATCATGTGGTGAGGAGTAGTTGGTTCATGGCTCATCTGTCACTAGTGGGGTTCCACATCTTAGGCCCTGTGCTCTTCAACATCTTCATAAATGACTTGGACACAGGACTGGAAGGGATACTAAGCAACTTTACAGATGACACAAAACCATGAGGAGCTGTTGACTCCTTCAAAGGGATGAAGGCCCTGCAGAGAGACCTTGATGAATTAGAGGACTGGGCAATCACCAACCATAGGAAGTTCAACAAGGGAAAGTGCTGGATTCTGCACCTGGGATGGGGCAACCCTGGATGTATGTACAAACTGAGAATGAGATGCTGGAAAGCAGTGCCATGGACCTGTCAGGGGGTCCTGGTCAATGGCAAGTTGAATATGAGTCAGCAGTGCCCTGGCAGCCAGGAGGGCCAACTGCATCCTGGGGGGCACCAGGCAAAGCATTGCCAGACAGTCAAGGGAGGGGACTGTCCTGCTCTGCTCTGCACTGGTACATCCTCACCTTGAATATTGTATGCAGTTTTGGGTACCACAATATAAGAAAGATAGAGACACTCCTCTTAGAGAGTGTCCAAAGGAGGGCAATGAAGACGGTGAAGGGCCTTGAGGGGCCGTATGAGGAGCAGCTGAGGTCACTTGGTCTGTTCAGCCTGGTTAAGAGGAGACTAAGGGGAGACACTGAAGTTACAGCTTCCTCTGGAGGGGAAGAGGAGAGGCAGGCACTGATCTTTTTTCTGTGGTGACCAGTGACAGGACCCAAGGGAATGACCTGAAGTTGTGTCAGGGGAGATATAGATTGAATATTAGAAAGAGGTTCTTCACCCAGAGGGTGGTTGGGCATTGGAACAATCTCGCCAGGAAAGTGGTCACAGCACTAGGCCTGACTGAGTTCAAGAAGTCTTTGGATGATACTCCCAGGCACATGGTGTGATTCCTGGGGATGGTTCTGTGCAGGGTTAAGTATTGGACTTGATAATTCTTGTGGATCCCTTCCAACTCAGTATATTTTGTAATTCTGTGATTATCAGGACTTCACTGCTCATTGACAATTTCTTTACTTGGATGAGAGTATCTTATCTGAAATTGGGAATTTGGAGCTTAATTCAAAAGAACATGCGGAAAACCACTTCTTTACAAGAATAATTACAGGAATACATGTGTATTTAGTCTCCAACAATGGAATTTGAAAAACCTATCAAGTCTCATATGCATACTGTTCTGCTCTGCTTATGCTACAGATAGTACTGTTAGCCTGAGTCACAGCAAGACAAAGTAAATATGATTCTGAACTGTTTTACAGTCATGAATAATACATAATCATCTTTTTTATATTTGATTTGTTCTTTGAGTTCCATTACAACTTCAGCAGCTTCAGTCCTTGCAAAATTCCTATTGTTTTGAAATTTGAAAAAAAAAATACACCAAGAAAAATTTGGAGAGCTGTAGTATCATTCTATGAATAATGTGAAAATCTGAGCTTTAAATAGATAATGCTGAGAAGTCTTTGGAAGTCACAGTTCAGATTTTAAATTATTTACTAACTTCATTGACAAGAGTGAGTTAAGGCTCATACAATGCAAGTCATCCTATACTTGGCAGCCCTATGTGCCTTCCCCTTAGGCATACAGTCCTTGTTCCCAGTCAGAGCTGGACTACTCTAAGATTAAGCAAAGATTTGGTCTGTCACAGCAATTCCTATTTCAATGAGATTTAGGAGCTAGAAAGGAATGCCAGATCAAACAAAACCCCCCCACATTCTTTAAAATAATAAATTATGTTCTTTATAGTAAGCGGAGTAAAACATCAACCTAAAAATCCTTTCTACAATACAATGCTACTTTTTATTAATTTCAGAGACTATGATATATATAAAATAACAACTTACTGTATACAAGCATCTATATTCTAGTCTCATACTTAGGCAGTGTGTATTTTTGAGCAACACAATATGAATTGCAATTCTGGGCTTCAAATACACCTACTACATTTATCATTTAATCCAACTGCATTATTATATACTTTCTGACTTAAAATTCATGGGTAGTGTAGAAAAGTATTACAATCTTTTTGTTAAAGCTGACCAAGTGAAGGAATCACTTCTACTGCTCATCTGGCAATAAAAGGGATGAGATAGTTGATGACATAAATAAACAATATTGTTACTTACCTTAGTTTAGATTACCCTGACAACGTGAGAGGAATGCTACAAAGTGAGTGCATTCTATTCTAGACCTAAGCTCTTCTTTCTTTTCTTTCTTTTAGTAAGAAAGAACCCTTAGGGTCAGGTCCTGCTCCCACTGAAGACGAGCAAAAGTCTTCACTGGGGTTCAGAAGCAGGACAGGGACTTTAAAACATTTTTCTTTCCTTTAGTATCTCTCTGTATGAGCTTTGGTCCCTTCAGGCTATGCAGATATGAAGCTTTTAAGATTTCTAAAGTCATAAGAGAGAGTTGGAAGTCTTACGTTCCTAATGAAGTATCATGCTGTCATTAATTTATCTGAAATCACTGACCCCAATTTGCCAATGTTATTCAAAAAAAACCAAAAACCAACTCAACTAAGAAATCAAAGGTAGTTTTCAAAAACATATTTTATGCCACTACAGGTACAATCTTTTATCCGAGTTGCATAACTGCCATTTATTTGCTCAAATTCCAGTTCCCGCATTCATACTCAACTCTGCTGCTAGAAGAAATTTCCTATACATAAAAAGCTGCTCTAAGCAAACCATTATCCACTGTTGATACACACAATACGTCTCTTTGCGTTTCCTTGCCTACCTGTAAATGGGACAGAAAGTTATTAAAGTATGTATTCTAAAAGGCATTTGTATATTGTTTCTTTCAGATGTTTAATGATCAAAGAAAATTAATATCACAGAAATTATCTACAGCTGGAAAATCTTCTCTCGTGAGTGGTCTATATTCATATACACGTAACACAGATGCCATAGAGGAAATAACGGTAAACCGTATTTGGTGATAGTCCTGTTTCCAAAGAGTGTGTGTCTCACTCACCTGTTTGACTAAGCTGAGATGTGCTTCTGCTCCTTCGAGACACTATGGCAACCACTTTGGCACTAAAGCTGGAACGCCTTTTCTTCCCACCTGTTCCAACCATGCCGACAGCCGTGTCCGACTGACTCCCGTCAATGTGCTCCAGCTTATACATCTCTCCGCTCACACTTGTGCTCTTAGTGATTCTCCCTGAAGTCCCCATCCGTCTGCCTTGCATTTTAGGAGTAAATGTACTACAGTTACAAAGTAAAAACAAACATATTAATTTGTCTGTGAAAGAGCATTTCCAAAAGGCTTTTTTAAAATTATTATATTAATTTTAATTCTTGATATACTTTCATTTATTTGGTTTACAAATAAAAGCTTAATTTGATGCTGCTCAGAGTACATATTTCCAGTACTATAATTTCTTCTTTGCTTTTTTGAGGGAAATAAATAAAATGAATGCTTTCCTATGTTTTTGAGCGGCAGAAAGAAAGACATGCAACATTTAAAAGTTCTGTGAGGCCTTTTTGTCTATATCCCCAGAATACAGAAACAAAACCCAACAATTTTACAACCAAAAAGGATTAACATGGACCAGTAGTTTAACATATGTATCTTGGTGCTATTCACCAAAGGCTTAAATCCTAATAGAAATGAAGATATCATCATCTATATTTTCATACTTCACAGAGATAATATAGAATGCAGTATTTTTTAGGTCTTCACTCTCTCACTTCACTAAAGGCAGGTGCAATAATCACAGTATGAAGGTAAAATAATTTTGAGGCAAAATCCCTAATAATCCACTAGAACTTTCATTGACAGAAAGACAAATTACTCTGTCAGATCTGTTTGATTTCCTTTAGCTATTGCATTGCATTTGAATGTTTCTGTACAAATCATTTTTCTGCTCCTGCACAAAGAGGCAGGATAAAGTATTCAGAAACACGGTCTAGAGAACAATCTCAAATACGCACAGGACATACTAATACAGAGACCTATCTCCACTGTGACCAAGCGATGCCCTAGCTCTAATGGCAATATAAAGTTAGCTGTCACTCTGTAGAGACACAGAAATTTAAGCTGCAGTCAGACTCACTTCAGATTAGTTGTTAAATCAGCCAGGCACATAGGCAATTCCTTGATCTTGTCTTGCTGACTGGTAGACCTACTGGGTTTTTTTTTCAATAATTCTGTATTTTCAAGTCAAATTTATTTGTTTACAAACAGTGCTGCTGTCCCTCCCAGCAGGTTCTCTTCCCAACAGATGTGATGGTCTGATCTCGTCCCCCAACCCCAACACCATTACCCCACAAAATAAGGAAGAGAAGGGTTAGAAGTTTCAGACAGGTAGAAAATCAGGCCAGGGAGAAATGAAGGGATCTATGGGAGGAGATGACATCTTTTGATTTCTATGGGTATGAGTTCTGCTAAAGTTTAAATAAGTCCTGCTCAAAGACAGATCCAGGAAAGTATAAAATAATGTATACCTAAATTACGTTTTACTAAAAATTCCCAAGAGTTAGTAATGTGTGACCATAGGTAAGAGCAGATAAAAATAGACAGTATTTTTTGAAGAAGTTGGAAAAGTAAAGCCTTTGAACAGATAAGACTTAGTAGAGAGATCACTATCAACCTCTGCATAGGCTTTTAACTATGCTCAACACAGGATCTGTTCCTGTTAAGTTCAGATAAAAAAACAGCTACCAGTCAAACAGAACAAGGTGCTGTGATGCACTGAAGTGCTAAAGAACACATTTTAATGGACCACCTGAGGCAAACTGACCTTAAAATAAGTTCTGTCTTTTCCCCTCCTATCCCACAGCAACTTTAGTAACTGGCTTTTGGGTTTGCACGGCAAAAACAATAGGACATGTATTTTGATGGTTTTTTCATAGAATTCCTTCATCTTTTATTACAGATCTTCCCCAGCACAGAGTCCCTCACAGGTATGTGAGCACATACACACATATTAAGTCATTCGAAGAAGAATTTTAACTGGAAAAAGCCCCCAAACTCAAATTTTTTTAAGACCATCTTCCATAAATATGCAGGTATTAAGGAAGAGGTTTTGTGTAAGGCAAACTAGTTCTGTTCAATTAAAAATAATATCAAATTGAGAAAAAATGCCCTAAAATATTTCCCATTTTCAAAATAGAGACTGATTTTTTTGAGGGAGATTAATTCTTGGCTTTAATAGAAGCTGTGTCCCTAATACAGTACAGGTGTTTACTTCACAGGCTACATATACTGCTGCTTTCTAAAGTTGCAATGATCTCTAAATGATTATATTTTTATTGTTGCTCACAGAATGCAATAACCTCAACTTTATAAAATATCTGAGTATCTAACCCAGCAGCTACTTTTCTTTCAAGTAGCACAGAGTATCTCCACAAACAGTCACATAAAAAGATATTCATTGGAATTGCCACATAGGTGTCATCTGCTGAGGAGATGATAAGGGCCCAAAGTCCTGCCCATAGGGAGCTAGAAGGCAACACCATTAACTGGCTTGGTTCTCTGGAGGAGGACACACGGCCATTTCAAGCAGAGGGCAGAGCAAAGGTAGAGTCTGACACTTAGAGGGAGCAAAATCACACAGGCTCTGTTTTCAGGGGTCCTACTTCCTACTTTGATTAGACATGGACAATTCCTTTTCACCTGGATAATTCCTTTCCACTAGCACTTGGAATTGGACTTTGAGCCATGAAGTTGTCAGTTCTTGAGTTTATGCATTGATACATCAGTAAGAGAGAGGAGAGAAACTGAAAAGACTTCGAGAGTATCTGTTGACATTTGAGCTTTATTGACATGTACTTTTCTGACATATTGATCTATAAATCTATAATTCCCAGCAATAAAGTTTAATAGAGTATAAAATCTGCCATGCAATTAAAGAATTGTTTATGATGCTATTGAATTTGCTCTACTGAATTTCAGGTGTTTATGAATGAAATAAATTCTAAAATCATGATGTTTTTATGCCAGTCTTCACATTTTTTTTTTTTTTACAACGGGCCTGAAATGCTCTAATTTCACATTATTTAGTATGAATTTAGGAGACAGTGATGTGCATCAGCTGAGAAATAAGAATAGATAGATAGTATGGCAACTTTTGGGAAAAAAACCATTTTCGATGTATGAATTCCCTAATTCAGGGACTATAGATACTTCCTCATCAATAGAAAATTTGCTTTCTTCAAAGACCTGTATAAATTTCATGTTTGATTCTTTGTGACAGGAAGAAGGAACTAGAAGACTCACCTTAATAAAAAAAAAAGAGAAATTTAGAATTCAGATGAATCTTGTACTTGTTTTTACCTTGCAAATATGAAGTTTTACTTTCCTAGGAAATATATTCTAGTGTACTAGTACAAAATAGCTATTAATTTGCTAGAAATGGGCTTAATATGATAGGACCAAGGATCCTGCAGCTGTCCAATACTTCCCCTTGTCATAACAAAGAAAACAGATTAAGATTCCTTTGTGGTCATCTGATCCCTGGGCTAGTTTATTATTTGTCATTAATTGGAACAGTCTCAAAAGAACGGACATTTAGAGTTCAGACTTCTTATACTGTTTAATTGAGCACCCTCAGAACACGATATTTTTCCATTACATTACGGGCTATCACTTGAAGAAGAAGCTTCTAGCTCACACTGTTACTTTCTTCAATACTGTTAGAATTTAATCTATGAAGCACAAAGAAGAAAAGAAGGACCTGTATGAGTTTACCTTTGCACTTAACTGTTCTGATAATAAAATCAATAAAATTTTGTTTTCCTTTACCTGACTCGCTGGGAGTATTAACACATATTTAACATTCATTTAAACACAGATGCAAATTTTTGCAGGCTTGTGGCTAAAATCTATAAATTGTTAAATTATATTTAAACCTAATTATCATAACACAAATAAATAAATACAGTTTTCAGTATCAGGGTAATGAAGAGTAACATATTTATAAGTATAGTCCACTCAGTATTAAATGAAATAATTCAACACATTTTTATTTAAAATTATTTTTTGATCTTTAGTAATTCTTCCAATGACTAGTCCAGCAAAAATCTTATGCTATTTGTAATAATTTCTAATTACTGTCAAAACAACATAATTATGTGCATATTAAAAATGGTTACAGACAATCAATATTTGCTCTGTAGTACTTCACAGATATTCAGCATGGAAAAAGAGTAACTGGACTTTTAAGTTTGGTTGTTTTTTGTTTTTGTTTTTTTTGTTTGACTGAAGTAAAGCACTAAAGCAAATCCCCCTTTGACCCCCTTTGATCAGCACGAGCAGATCTGCCTCCCCAGTACTGGGGTCACACATTACCCCAGGTCCCCGCATCAGCTGGGAAGACACCACTCTCTTTACCAGGAGAAAAATGCTTACATTTCATGCCAAAACTTATGTGGCTGACATGGATCCAGTCAAAAGTGGTATCTGAACTACAGAAGGCAAAATCAAGACTATGTTCACACGTCAGCCATCAGGGTTGTGAGAGAAAGCAGCACATTCAGGTTTGCAAGCTGCTCCTACCAGAAAGTTGTATCTTTGAGAATGAAGAATGAGCTACTAAAACAAAAAACTTTTTCAAAGAGGATTTTGAGTTATGAATTATCAGTCTAAGGCAAATTCTATAAAATAAACACACTGCAAGGGCATTGTGGATTATACTTGCTTATATTGAACTACAGCACACACTACTACATAGAACTGAAACAAAGCCACGTACTTGTATTAAACCATTATATAATTTTTATATACAGGTATCTAATATATATACATTCAAGATCCATAGAAATATACGGGAAAAATCCTTTGAGTTGAGAAAATCAGTATATAGATATACACTCAGTATTTCTCAGTACTTACATAAAATACCTGCACATTCCACCTGAAAAAGAAAGAGCAAGACACAGGAAGCTAGGAGAAACATCACCCATAAACTCACCTACGTAATATCTGGAAGTATATCCTTTCAGAGAAAAAATCTGAAGTGATTAGCCATTGCTAAAATTACAGCATTTCCTTCATTCTCTTAGACTTACTGATGATGTATAAAAAAATACTTTAGGTGTTTTTTTGCATGATCATTCATTTTAACTCCATTCATTTTTCCAATAATGCAAGCCATGAATAAATAAATAATCCCCTGTATTCCTTGCTGTATAGACGATGTTACAGTGAGTTCTTTGCACACAGTTGCAGTAACTTGGAATCTTTCAACAGAATCCCTGTCCTC